GTGAAACGTCAGACTGAACTGGCTGTATTAAGTTATGTTGAATACTTAGCTGGTTTAAAGGTGAAAGGCAGGAGAATGAGAGGGGGAGGTAGTAGGGTGAATGTTAGGAAAGAAATTATGCGCTACTTTTTTCATCCTAGGGTAGGCTATTTAGAGAGAAGGTTTATTAATAAGGCTTTAAAATTAGCTGATTTTTATAGTATCAAGTCTGTTAGAAGCAATGTATCTCTCCAGGTTAGGAGGATGAGCAGTATAAAAAGTGGGTTAAAACTATTAGAAGATTTGAGTCAGGATAATGCTTACATTTTACGAGAAAGCGATAAAAATTTGGGTTGGTGTCTTAATACTTCTACTTGGTATAACCAGGAATATGATAGGCATTTAAAGTCTGGTTTTCATCAAAAGGTAGGAAGCATGGGGGATGTAGACAATATTAAACACTCTTGTCGGTTATCTTTACAGGCTATTTTAAAGAAACATATAGGGGTGTTATCTACTAACGAATATAAAAGTTTTAACTTTGGTAATGGTATAGAGGATTACATTTTACCTAGCCTGAATTTATCCCCTAAGGTACATAGATTGAAAGAAAGGGCTTGTATTGATTATGAAAACCTGTTAACAGGTAGGCCCATAATTACCGGGTATGGGTGGTGTACTATTGAGGCATCTAAATTTTTGCAGAAGAAGTTAAGGTCTATTATGGGCAGATTTAAGGATTATTTGGTAAACAATTCTTTACCTTATTCCATTTTAGGGAATAGCTATGAATTAGTGGTTGTAGTAAAGAGGTCTAGTTTTAGTTCGTTGGATCGATGTACCTTCTTAACTTTTGATTTCAAGGATTTATATACAATTATACTCTTTAAAGATGCTAGTGCTACATTGAAAGAACTGGCTTTAATTCTAGGAATTGAGAAAGCGGAAGTGGATTTTGTATTAGATTTATACTCATTTTGCAACACTTGGAATTATTTTAATGTGGGAAATTGTTTACATAAACAGGTGAAGGGGGTTAGTATGGGTTGCTATTTTAGCAAAGAAATCAGTGATTTAGTTTTGTTATATTCTGAGTATAAATACTCTTTAGTGTGTGACACTAAAAAGGTAATCTTTTTGAAGAGGTATGCTGATGATGGGATTATTTTGTTTTCTATTAGGGATAGTGCAAGCATTTTATCTGAGTTTAGGAAAATTATGCTTTTTTATCAAGTAATCTCGTTATTAATATTGTTTTAAATTACGTTACTTGTCAGTTTTTAGATTTAGTGTTGACTTTGGATGATATTACTTTATCTTCGGGGTCTATACACTATTGGACATTTTTTAAGAAGTTTCATAAATTTGCTTATTTGAATCCTAAATCTAATCACCCTAAGCATGTATTTAAGGGTTTATTAACGACAGAGTGTATGCGTTATATTAGGAATTCTTCGTGCGCGGAGGATTATGACTTTACCTTAAGATTGTTTTATCAGCGCTTGTTAAGGGTTGGTTACATTAAGGGATTTTTGCGAAGGAACCTGATTAGTTATAAAGAGGGGTTGCAATGTTTGGAATCAGAAAGGTTGAGAAAGAATTTAAATGGCTTATTTGTTTATCCTAAGACTTATGATAAGGTTGGTTATGTGTCTACATCTGTAGAGAGAATTCTAACGAAGGCAAAAGGGGGCTTGCCTCTGCCAGTTACTTTTTTTATTCCCAAGAGAGTGAATACTAAATTGAGGAATTTGTTTTGTACTAGGAAAATGGTTCAATACTACAGTTAATTGACAATACAGCTGTAAATGTAACAATGTTGTACGCTTGTGACCACACGGTAATTAAGTAGTAATTTAATGTATATATACATACCCAGAACTTTTTTTTTTTTTTTTTGTATAATAATATGTAGCATAATAGTATTTACAGTAACAATAAACATATATAAAAGGAAGTGAAGGAAATAGTTATAACAGAGGAGAATCATTTTAAGAATCTCATATTGTCTTGGAGCAACAAGTTTCGACGTCAGTTGGTGGATACATCCAGGCCAGTAAAGATGAAGTACTCTAAGAAACTAGAAATGTTTACTTTGTATCTTAGTTATGGCATAACTATTTTGGTGCAGAAAAAGTTTTCAGTTTGATTTCCCCATTTACCAGCCCTCCCTACAAACAAATAAGGAGCAGTCTGTAACTGTAAATAAACAAACTAGGTCATGATAACAAACTTTACTGTAACAATCCGTATAAATACTTGCAAGTTAATTCAACGGACTGGTTTGAAAAGTTACAGTTGTAATAGGAATGTTTATAACAGTTGTTAAAAAAGCTACAAGACAACGAAATACATCAGGTTCCAGCACTCTAATAACATTGTATGTTGCGTTCAGTAATTAAAAAATCCAACAATTTTTCGATCTGAGTCAATTAGTATTTGTAGCATTGTTGTTTGGGAAACATGATGTTTGACAGCTGCCCATGAAAGTTGTAACAATTGTCAATTTTAGTTGCTATATTTTTATCTTCTGCATTTGCAATGTAAGAAGCAACAGTTTCATGAAGTCTATGAAGATACACTAAGCATGTTGCATGTTTCATCATCAAGTTCTCCTTTCTCTGCAGATCTAGAAACAGCCTCATAAAGGCTTGAGGAACAGTAAAAACATTTGGCTTCATTTTCATCTAGTTTAAAACCACAATAACAAAACTCAGGGAGATGAGCTTCTTTTGGTACGTACTTATCCTTACACTTGGCATACCGAATGTGAAACGGGTCAATTTTCCTAAGCCAGATAGAGCTGATGTACTCATGGCGCATGACTAAGCTTCACCGAGTTGAGAGTGTTGCATGACGTGCAAATGATGACAGAGTTACATGCTTGGCCTCGCGGCCTTTCATAGTGTTAATGCCAAGGCCAAATCCAAATTCTCGAAACAATGCTGCATTGTGGAATGGAATTGCATATCTCAGAGTCCACACTGTAGGGTCAACTGACTTCATAAGAAGGGAACAAGTGTTAAACAATAATTGGCAGTGAACCTTAAGTTCTTGACAAATTGCTGCATTAGTTTCAACTCTACTGAATTTTGATACTGCATCACGTAATTGCAGGGCAGCAAAAGCAACTGACATAAGTCTAAGTGATTCAGGCCCCATGTCATTTCCTCTCCTCAATAAGAAACATAAATTTGTGACAAAAGCACTTGGTTTCTCTACCTGTAAATTGATATTCAAATCTATTTTTCTCCCTTCCTTCAGCCATTTTTTTATTTTCTTATATAGTCTAGATGCGCCAACATCATTCTTTATTGAAAGGACAAATTTTTTGACAGGAGTTTCATCAGGCAGGGTTGATAAGTCAACACCCGTGACAGGGATGTTGCTTCGTGAAATTGCTTCCTCCAATAATATAGAATGGATATACTGCCATGCATTGTTTGAATTATGTAGTGGTTCTGCAAAAGCAAAGTCTACCAAATGTGCAATGATAGGTTCACATTCTTGCCTAGATTTTTGATCTTTAATAAACTGCGTAAATTTGTTTCGCTTGGTTGAGGGGGCTAGACGTGTGGCATTAAGTTCATTTTCTTTGGCTTTCACCCTGGCTGCCACAGTGAGCCTGTCATTGAGTCAAGTTGAGTTGCATCTCGACAATGCACGGTAGCATTTCGTTTGAGTATGATTGATTGGGTAAAGGTAGTGCTTAATACAAGTGTTATTGACAGTGACCGACATTGTGCCAACCTGTGTGGTAGTCATCTTCAGAGTGAAAGTGAGTGCTATCACGTCAATTAATTGTGTTAAACTGTGGTGACTCGCTGTTCACGATGTTCACGACACAGTCGGTCTATAGAATCAGGTAAAAGAGCTGATGGAAAGGCACTCTTGTTGAAAAAAAAAACAGTTTCTTTGAAACAATGACGGAAGTAGCATGCGCTATGTAGCCGTATTATACTAGTGAATACGTGTTCACTCAAGGGAAGAGATACACTTTCCTGTACATTGTTGCAGGCATTCAGAGTCAAGGTGAATTCCACACGTCTGTCGCTAGGATGAACAGGTCTTGTTTGATGAAATGTTTAGCAGAGCAACCATTACTGTCCAGTAAAGTCTGGTTTCCATATGATCGTCCCGGTCGTCTCAAATATTAAATGTTCAGACGCTCGCGACAATCATATGGGAACGCTACCCGGACGACTGAGACGACCTCGATCGCTTGGATAGAGTTGAGTTCTATCGGGACGATCCTGACGATCCTGTAAACTTTGAAGCGATCATATGGAAACGCTCTCAGACGACTGAGATGATCGAAGGCTATCGCAGAAATCATCACTATTATTCCAGTAATCGAGAATAAATTCGGCCTGGACGCCGCTGAAGTCGAAAAAAATAATCCAAAAATGTTCGCATGATGGGCACTTAGAGAAAGTCCGTTACATCAAGTTCTCGACGTGATACTATGTCTTCGTGGAACTCTTCTAGCTTGTAGACGCCGCACAATAAAAAGAAAACGCAAACAGCAAGGCACGAGGTTCGCTCTCCCATTAAAATCCATCATTATGTTGGTGGCTTGTTTGCGAAACACGCAAAAGTTCTATTGTCTGACCCGGAGACATCGCTGACGACCCCGCGTCTCCTGTCGCTGAGGCGATCGAGACAATCATATGGAAACCACCAGTCGTCCGGATCGTCGTCCAAATTTTTTTGAAACGACTGGGGCGATCCAGACGATCATATGGAAACCAGGCTTAACGCTGACGCTGAAAGTTAATTGAGCATCGAACGAAATTCTCCTTTAAGGTTACTCGACCCAGTTTTTTTGGGGGGGTACCATCCTACTTTGAAGCTCTCTGGTATCCCCACCTTTACTTTTATCGTAAGTCTAACACATAGAATGGATAACATATAGATCAATCTACAATATAACATAAAATTTTTGGCGATCGGAGTAAATGTCACGTGGTNAGAGATGAATCTCATAGTTTATTAGATATAATCCGTGTAAAGTTTGCTTATCATTTTCGCATAAATTATGACCTAAATTTGGAAACCGCTGAATTTCTCGAATTGTGTCTTTGCGATTTTGGTGAAACCCTGTTCAGCGCAAGGCACTAATGCGCACTATGTTTAGCCGAGAAATTGTCACGAAAAAATGCTGGCAACAGCAGATTTTCGACTCAGACCTTAAAGGGGCGTGGCTTTATAACCACGTGACATTTACTCCGATCGCCAAAAATTTTATGTTATATTGTAGATTGATCTATATGTTATCCATTCTGTGTTATACTTAAGATAAAAGTAAAGGTGGGGATACCAGAGAGCTTCAAAGTAGGATGGTACCCCCTAAAAAAACTGGGTCGAGTCACCTTAAAGTCTCGCAAGAAAGCTGTCCATTTAGCAAACGCAAAAGCCACAGCTCCCCCATCCCCCCCCCTCCTTTACCTCCCTCCCTAGCGGCTTCCTCACGCGTTATGCTTTGGATTTTACAATTTTCCTCTGTAAAGCTTGCCGTAAAACTACTCTTGATTTTTTTAGGAGCTTGAATTCCCCAGCACTAGGTACTGTTTTCGTTCCTTGCCAACTGGGGCTTACTGATGATCACGGAGAGGGATACTTGTTCCCAAAACCGCAGCCAGCTTAGTTGCTGTTTGCAGGAATGGAAGTGTTAATCTCGAAGCTTGGAATATCTGTCATTTATTCAGAAATAAAACGATCTTTTATTCGATTCATTTTGCCTCGTATTGAAGTGTATATTACCGCCATTTTTATGCGCCATTTGGGTATAAAGGATGCTAATAGACCATTTTCGTTATACTTAAATTCGTACTGCGCTAAGTGGGTTAGGAGAATGGAAGAAAGAAATGCATTATTCACCCCAGAAACTCAGAGTTATTTCTTTTGTTGTATTCCCGCAATAGCGAAATGTGCATTTAATATATCGAACATTGTCCATTTTTCATAACACGAAAAAAAACTCAATGCAATTGATTTGCTAGTACGCCCTTGGTGCATATCGTAAGTTTACGTTCGAATTGGTGCGTTAGCCTATCCGCGGCTTATGTTTGGTTGCAACCCAGCCAAAATAGGCCTCAGATTAAGTTTATCGCGTGTGATGTGTTTACAACAAACTCGCGCATGAATCGGCGACATCAAAGTTAGAACGACGTTTTGATATCCACAATCAAGAAAGTTAATAAGGGAAGGCTCCGTCCTGAGGTCCAACCCCATACCCTTTTATATGCCATTTTTTGGTGAAAGAAAAAGGAACCCTTAGCGTATATATATACTGTACTTTGCATCGACCAACGGAACCCAGTCTCAGACGTATTTCAGGACGCTAGATGATGCTTTTTGACTGTTGTAAGTATCCTGTTTTTTCTTTTTCCAAAGCCTGAGATCCATTTCGGGTGGAGCCTTTCCGTATGCCTAGGCTGAACCTCGGGTATTTAATCAAATACGATACAATGTTTATAACATAACCGACAAGAAAATTTAATGTTGAAATATGTTCAAATGACTCTTACCTTGTATAACTTTCTTTATCTTGCTGTCTTATTTAAGTGGACTAACATTCTTGGGCATATTAAATTCTGCAAGCACAATACTGCAATGCTGATCGTACTACGTGAAAATTGACTCTGGAAGATATCACGACACCGCAAGAACTCAAAACAGAACGGGATTGTAGCCATAGACAGCTGTTTCGCCCTCTTTGGGGCTCGTCAGTATGGCGTAACAACACAGAAAACTCTGATGAAAAATATCCGCGCACTCTGATTTAAGCCTTGTCCTAGAACTCTCAACACCCACAGAATCACGCCATACCACGTGTCTTCTGGGGGGCAAGAGTCCAAGTGTCAAGTTGATGCCTCGCAGAGAAAATAAAAAATTGGCCAAAACCAACCTATAGAACATGGACAAAACCATGCAAAAATTACGGCATATCGGATCTTTAAAAGATCTACGGCCCCAGAATACATAAAGTACAAACATTAACCACAAAGGACCGCAAACGAGTATGCCGAAGAACGTAGGATCTATAAAGACCTGATCAGCAAAAATGAAACAAACTAGATCTAGACATATTAAATTCTGCAAGCAGAATACTGCAATGCTGATCGTACTACGTGAAAATTAACTGTGCAAGAAATCAACACGACACCGAAAGAACTCAAAACAGACCGGGATTGTAGCCATAGACAGCTGTTTCGCCCTCTTTGGGGCTCGTCAGTATGGGGTAACAACACAGAAAACTCTGGTGAAAAATATCCGCGCACTCTGATTTAAGCCCTGACCTGGAACTTTCAACACCCACAGAATCACGCCATACCGCGTGTCTTCTGGGGGGCAAGAGTCCAAGTGTCAAGTTGATGTCTCGCAGAGAAAATAAAACCAACCTATAGAACATAGACAAAACCATGCAGAAATTGCAGAATTTAATATGTCTACTTTTCATTTTTGCTGATCAGGTCTTTATAGATCCTACGTTCTTCGGCATATTCGTTTGCGGTCCTTTGAAGTCCTTTGTGGTTAATGTTTGTACTTTATGCATTCTAGGGCCGTAGATCTTTTATAGATCCGATATGCCGTAATTCTTGCGTGGTTTTGTCCATGTTCTATAGGTTGGTTTTGGCCAATTTTTTATTTTCTCTCCTTTGTGGTTAATGTTTGTACCAACATTCTTGGAAACTTTCATGATAATAGACCATTTTACAGTTAGGAGCTTAGTGCCCGAGCCTCTGGGTGAACGTCAGGCTGAGGTTGACCTTGTTTTGATACAAACCTCTTTTCTTTCCTTTTCGTGCCAAAAATTACAAGCAGAAGAATGACATGGATTGACATAACAAAGGTGGAAGGGTTGTATCAAAACAAGGTCAACCCCAGCCTCGTTTGTACCAGTAATTCGGCTATTGGCCTTTTGAGGGTTGTGCGGGAGACTCGTTCTGTGTTGTTCTTTAATCCACTTTAGGACTTTAGGACTCTGTCGCTTTTTATTGGTGACTAAGAAACCGCACGGTTAATTGGGTCAAAAATTCGTTTTCAAAAACAGTCCTATAGTTAGCCTGACTTAAGTTGGCGAACTAGCGCGGGAATGCTTGCAACGCAGGCCATCCTATAGTACAACTTGACGAAACACCGACCTAGTCTTACTCACA